GGAGCCACAACAGTTAAAGTGATGTCAAGTTGCATTAATTCTGCAATGTGGATGAGCTATCGGAACAGACTGGTTCATTACACATAGGTATTGTTTTTCATCTTTAGGAATTACATTTCTATTGAAATTATATTGAAAAACTTTATATTTGTACAATCTGTCCAGTAATTTGCTGCAACAACAAAGTGATGCAAAATGCATTCATTTACTAAGGAAAAGATGAGTGATATTTTCAAAAATCAAGGACCAATTGAGCCATTTTATAGTACTTTGGATAAAACATCACCACATGTTGCTTTGTTCCTAAAGAGTGCCATTGTTTTCACTTTTCATGTAGATGACCAAAATATGTATAAGCTTTTCTGGTCAACATTGTAAACACATGTATACATCTATTCTGTAACCAATATCTTCTTGCCTCCTCAAGACCAGTAGGCTATTTTTAATTAATGTTATGACCAGTGCATAGAAAATATTTATATGTGATTTCAAGGAAGTTATAATTTTGTGTTACTCTTTGTGTTAATTGCAGAAATCACTGCAGAAGAATTCTATTTATTAGCTCAGTCTTTCCTGCATTGGGACATAGATCTTATCTATATCTTTTCCTTATGCAAAAGGATTGCATAAAATGTTGTATGCAACTTGCTTTCTGGTCTTCGGTTTATCTGAAATAGTTTAAGATTCGGGAAGGTAGTTCAAGGAGTCCTTGCATAATATAATCTGAAAGGTCATAGATTTCCTTTCACCTTGTGTAATTTTTCATAGTTTTTCTTAATTCTTATGGGGAAATTCCCAACTTCTAGGTGGTACACACAGATCAGTCTATAAATAATAATAATAATAATAATAATAATAATAATAATAATAATAACAACAGCAATAATAATAATAATAATCTTTATTTATACCCTGCCACCATCTTCCCAACGGGGACTCGGGGCAGCTTACATGAGGCCAAGCCCGGACACAGGCCGTAGCCAGGATTTTGATTGGGGGGGGGGGGGTGTGATGGGGGGGGGCTGAGTCTGGGTGAAAGAGGGTCTACCCTAGCAAACCTTTTGTATCGTTACCCCAATACCCCCATACATATGGGATATATTGAGAATGGTGATCAGATAATGATATTAATAAACATAACAGTTTAAATAATGTACCAGTAAGGCCTTCTCGCAGACCACCATGAGAATTTCGGGGGGGGGGGGGCTGAAGCCCCTACAGCCCCCCCCCTCCCGGCTACATGCCTGCCCGGACAACATATTACAGCAAAATAAAACCAAAACATAAGCAACAAGCAACAGCATCCATGTGTGACCATGGTTTACTTGTATTGAGACTGTGAAGCTGACAATGGTTCCTCTTTCTTCTCGTTCTTTATTACTAGTTCCCAATTCCTTGTTCATCAAAAACTTTCTGGATAAATTATTGAAGTGTGCAGTGGGCCCTCTGCATTGCTGGAGTTTGGTTCCAGGGCCCCCTGCGGCTACCCAAAGCCATGGATGCCCAAGTCCCACATATATATAATGTAGTGAAATGGCATCCCTTCTACAAAAGAGGCAAAATGAAGGTTTTACTTTGGAGATTTTTCAAGCCTCGGTTGGTTGAATCCATGGATACACAAAGCAGGCTATATATCCTCCTACAGCCTCAAATTACTTGCTATTGGACATCTCGGTGACCAGGACTAATTAGTTATATTTTATTTGTTAGCAACACCTTTACACTTCCCATTAACAATATGTTTTTTTCTTAATAGTGTACCAACACCCTCTCCCAAACATAAAATTGCACCACAAACTTGATATTTTGGAGTGTAGAAGGGCCGTCAGTGACGGCAACAGTTCATTGCAAACGCATTCTGTAAGTAATTAAAATCTTTAGCCAACAGTTCATTGCAAACACATTCTGTAAGTAAATAAAAACTAAAAAGATGACTGCGTATGTGGATGTCACCACCAATTCAGAAATCAGACTCTATAACTGGAAGCAAAATATTGAAAACTCCCATTCTGTCTGTAGAAGCAAGACCATGAACAGATTGTGGCACAGACCATGAATGCTAATTTCAAGCAGAATAATTTATTCTGCCAAGAAAACACCATGATAAACATTATTCAGAAATGACTTGAAGGTACATGGTAACAACAACATGCATTTCCTTTGGAGACTGGGGAATCTTTGCATATGGATCTACCCGTCAGCCACCTTGTTGCCACCTTGTATGTTAGGGGTGATGGCACTTTTCCAGCAGCTAGTTCCTCACAACCATTAAGTACCACACCTTTGGCTTTTCATAATGAACTGCTGCTTCCTTTAAGATCAGTGGTTATCAACCTTTTTTTGTCCGGGGACCACTTTGACCAGGGACCACTCTCTAACATTAGTCCCAAAAGGGTTACAAATCAGTTTTTGGTCAAGTTTAGATTTAGTTTAGTTATTTGGGGCCCTGATTCAGAAAATTGCATTGGATTGACCACATCATCTCTAGTTTCTGATACAGAACATATAATAATAATAATAATAATAATAATAATAATAATAATAATAATAATACTTTACCATCTCCCCAAGGGACTCGGTGCGGCTTACATGAGGCCAAGCCCACAGTACATCAATAAACGAAGGTAATAACAAATAATCAATACAAAACAGTTAAAATAAAACTCAAAAGCAATAAACAATAACAATAACAACAACATACAAGCATTTAAAAAACCTATGGCCGGGCCAAATGTAATAATTAAAATTTAAAATAATGCTGGGCATGAACTAGGTAGGGTAAACTAGGATAGGGTTTTCAAGGAAAGATGAGGGTGCGCAGACAATCCTAAATCAATATTAAAGTGCATTTGAGGACATATTGCTAAGAGTTTTCCTTATTCTGGGAAGGCACACTGGAACAACAACGTTTTCAGGCTCCTCCTATAGACTGCCAGCATTGGGCCATGTCTGATGTCCTTGGGGAGTGAATTCCAGAGTCGAGGGGCCATCACTGAGAAGGCCCTCTCCCTCATCCCCACCAATCGCACCTGCGAGGGAGGTGGGAGCGCAAGCAGGGTCTCTCCAGATGATCGAAGAGATCATGTGGGTTCGTACACAGAAATGCGGTCGCCATCTGCTCGGCCACAAAACCATATTTAATAACCCTCGGCACTACAAGGTTTTGTGAGACCAGTCGCTTTGTTGCAACGGTTGTGGACCATATTTTAGTTCTTGCAGACCACAAGTTGGGAACCACCGCTTTAAGATGCTGAAAGCATCTTAAACTTCTTTTGGATCCCCTGAACTTCTCTAGGAAAGGTAGTTTTGTCTGTCTGTGTAACCATGATGGAACACGGCTTAAAAATTTCCGTGCTTTTTTGAAAGTTACACTTTCCTCCTGAGCAAACACGGAGGACTTTTATTTTTCTTTGTCTCACCTTGCTATTCTACTATATCCTGTTACTAATTAACTAGGCAGTGAGTAGTCTAACAAGTACTTAACTGATATTTGAACTACTTATCATGTCAAGAAACCTGAATGGAGGTTGAGAAAATAACTAAATCAGGGTGGTATCTGTTAGTTGACAGATTCCCTTGTAAATCCTTCTAGTATTGCTCCTGGATTCTACAGCCAAAGCCTGAAATGGGGCAACAACAAACTATACCTTCCTGGAGCTGCTGTTGCAATGTGGGAGGGAGCATACTCATTTTTGACTGCACGAAGAGACTGAGTTTCTTGAAAAGCATGAATATCCCTTTGTCTCACAAACACAAGAACATTTTTTCAGACATCAACAAAATGGTGTGCTGGAAGTAGCTTTTTGGCACATTTTTGCTTTCACCATTATACACTCAAGGCACCTCCTTTTTACAGAAAAAGCTTACTTAGCAAAGTATTAATTACTTTATTTAAATAGCGCTCTATCTCCCCAAGGGGACTCAGAGTGGTTTCCAAGTAACATAATCAATACATACAAAGACAACAGCATAAACATAAAATTAACAAGACAATATAAGCATAATAAAATCACAATAGCACATATATTTAAAATAATCCTGGCAGTTTTAAAGGCCAGGCCGGACTAATGCGATTTTAGAGGGTCCGGGATATTAGGTAGAGTCTATGGTTGTACATTTTCAGAGCCTAGTAGAAGAAACTGACCTGGGTAATTGGTAGAAAAAGACATGGCCAATTTCAACAGTATCTGGGAATAAGCTAGAACTAGTTGTTCTCAAAGGTTTGTTTAAACCACCAGGTCTTCAGGCTCTTACGAAAGGAGGGGAGGGATGGGGCCTGTCTTATTTCTCCAGGAAGGATGTTCCAGAGGCTGGGGGCCACCACTGAGAAGGCCCTCTCTTGTGCTTGTGATGGTGGTGGGAGCAAAAGGAGGGCCTCCCCAGAGTCCTGTGTAAGGAACCCCACTGGAAGCAAGATTTGCAGTGTTGGATGCAATGACATCTTCATTGAGAGATGGCTGTCAGGCATCATTTAAATTTGTTGTGATGGTTCTTGAAGTCATTTCTGACTTATGGCAATCCTATGGTGTGAAAGTGAGAAAATTCCATTTAAAAACAAAACAAAACAATTCTTTTAACCAGAGAAAACACCCCATTAGGAATCTCTAGGTCCTCCAGCATGATTCTGTGACCAGTCTGACCATAGACTTAAGAATTAATAGACATATGTTCTTTGCATGAATCTCTAAGACTTCCAATATGGTTATAGTCAATTTTCTGCAGACATTGACCACAGAGTTGTGCTGTAGGGTTTAGGATTGCTACAGATGATTGTATAATGATTGTAAAGGCACTGAATGTTTACCTGTGTATGTAAATACTTTAATCTGCTCTGAGTATCCTAGGGGAGAAGGGCAGAATATAAATAAAGTGTGTTATTATCATCATCATCATCAACAACAACAACAACAAAATCAAATCTGCAAAAAGCCAAATTTGCAAATGTGGAGTGACTATTGCATTATATTTATGATCATAGCTTTCTCTTTTTTCTATTACAGTTACTAGGAGCATTTGTTCTAGCTGTTGGCATTTATGCTGAAGTTGAAAGACAGAAGTACAAAACCCTTGAAAGTGCCTTTTTAGCCCCAGCAATTATTTTAATACTTCTGGGCATTGTAATGTTTCTTGTGTCCTTTGTTGGCGTGCTGGCATCTTTAAGAGACAACTTATCCCTTCTTCAGGCTGTAAGTACTTTTATTTAAGTGGACTTGTATAATTACTTGTAACTTGATGCTTATAACACTTTGTTCCTTATTCTGCAAACAGTTCAGACACACCTCAGCCAGTAACTTCCTTCTTTGATAAATAAACAGAGGGAAACTATAGGTTATTATTTAACCAGTGTGAAGGAGTGGTCAGATCACAACGTCTAGTAATGTCATCTTTGTTAGGTTAGAGCAGTTTGCGCGTCTCCTACCATACTTGTTGGGAATGCTCAGGTGCAAATATTAAAAACCTATTGGTGAAATAAAATATTTGTTGTTGTTGATTCGTTCAGTCGTTTCTGACTCTTCATGACCTCATGGACTAGTAAAATATTTACTTAAGTAAAATTGATACGAAATAAAGCATTCTAAATGTTATTTCATAAGTATTATGAAGCACCGGGATTGTGGCGCAGCTGACTGAGTGTCAGCTGCATTAAGATCACTCTGACCAAAAGGTCATGAGTTCGAAGCCAGCCCGGGTTGGAGTGGGTTTCCAACCATTGTGTAGCCTGTTGTCGACCTTTGCAACCCAAAAGACAGTTGCATCTGTCAAGTAGGAAAATTAGGTACCACCTTAAAGTGTGGGGAGGCTAAATTAACTGATTTATGAGGCCATAAAGAAGACTCCAGCAAAGCATTCCAGCAGGGAAGCATGCGGGGAATGTGGAAGTGCTTCATCAGCGTCGCAGATGGACGCTGAAAGCGACAGCTCCCCTGGCGGCCAGAAAAAGTTAAATAGCCTCTGTGTATGTCTGCATATGTTTAATGTCAAAAATTGGCATTGAATGTTTGCCGTATATGTGTACACTGTACTCCGCCCTGAGTCCCCTGCGGGGTGAGAAGGGTGGAATATAAAAGCTGTAAATAAATAAATAAATAAATAAATAAATAAATATTATAACGTAGTGGCATCTTCACTGTAGAATAATAAAGTTTGAAACCACTTTAATTGCCATGCCCCAATACTATGGAATCTTGTGATTTGTAGTTTGTTGAAGCACCAGCATCTTTTGTCATAGAAGGCTAAAGACTTAAAAAATGATAACTCCCATGAGGTGAAGTGGCTGTCTAAGTACTGGATATTAAAATAAAGATTCAATGTGCACAGTTGTTATGATAGTTATTCAAGTTATCTAGAATGTACTTTCCTATTTATGTATGTCTAGAAATTTCAGTGCAAAAATCAACTCTATCAACCTGGGCTGACTTATCCATGAATAAGTGTGAGCACTGTATCTTAACTCTTATCAAAAAAGAGTTCTCCTTCTCTGAGAAAAGGCAAGAGTTTAGACTAGTTTAGGATATTCCAAAAGCTTTGACACTCTTTTTGACGCTCATATCAAAATCCATAATTTTCACCCAAAACATTTCCTTGACTTATAGATGAACATAGTAATCTATGAGCACAATTTTGGATTTTGCACACTTATGTACTATTTTTGAAATTGTTTTTCAGTTCATGTACATCTTGGGAATTTGTTTGCTCATTGAATTAACGGGAGGAGTTATGGCCTTAATTTTCAGACACCAGGTAAGAAAGCCAAGATTAAAAAATATGCCTAACTTAAAAGCTGCCTTCCTCCCTCTATTTAGTATGGAAAAATGGGTGCGGTGTTTTGTTGTCTCAAAATCATTAACAAATACCATATATTCTGGTATATAAGATGACCCCAACTTTTCCAGTTAAAATATAGAGTTTGGGATATACTCGCTGTATAAGACTACCCCTCTACCAATGCACACCAAATAAAATTTAAAAAACATCAGATTTGATTTCAATTTGGTAATTTTCCTATTACTGTACCTCCTTCTCTGCCTCTCAGATCTCGCACCTGCGCACCTGCACTGCTTCACTGCAGTCTTCAGGAGTGAGATCTGAGAGGCAGAGGAGGAGGTGTGGTAATAGGATACAAGGGCGGGTCAGACAGGTAAAAGAGGTGTGTTTTTCTGGGCCCAGAGCCACTCTATCTCTTTTTTCCATACCCCAGGCGCCCCAGACGCCTGCAGCTTGCTCCGCCTTCACTTACACCTTCCTGGTGAGGCACCCCTTCACCTCACCATCGGGACCACATTAAGTCCACGAATCCTGATGAACAGATTTTCTTCTACCATACTTGTACAGCGTCACCCTTAATGCTTTCATACAGTTGCTGCATACGGCAGGGACGCAGCCACTGCCATTTTTGAGCTCCCCCCACAATATGCAGCAACCACAGATTCTATGAAGTAGATATAAAGATCCCCAGGAATAAGAAGGGTCTTGAAAAGTTTGTGTGGTCTGAGATTTGAGGGGGAGATTGTGGGACAGGTTTTCTAAACCTTTAAAATTTTTTTGCCTTTCTCATAAAGGTCTCACTGCTATGTTACAGACCTGTTTGGTGAAGTTTGGCCATTATTGACAGTCTGCTTGTGTTGCAATTAGAGTTGAAAAGGCCTTGGGAGAATGGAAAAATGGGGGGGGGGGGATTGGGGGACAGAAAACCCCCCAGTAAAAACTGTTTTCCCAAAATTTTGAAGGGGAGGCTGTGAGGTCTTCCCATCTCTAGTTGCACTTCCTCATCCCTAGAATACCCCAAAGCCCCTGCTTTGCATCTTAAAAAATAGATGATAAATTCCCCCTGAACTGCTCAGGACTCCACCCAGAGTTATATTATGCACTAATAACAATCTCTCTCACACGTACTTTGTACAGCCAGTCTTTTCCTCTCTTGGACAAAAAGAGGTGGGGTAAATCCTGCAATGCTCAAAAGCTTAAACCGGCAACTCGTGCATTCCCTGTTTCCTTCCCTCAGCCACTTGACTGCCTGTCTGGGAAAAGGATGAAAAATCACCATAACTGCCAGCAGCCACTTTTGCTATAACTAGTTGGCTTCTTGCTGGTTTTTTTTTTTTTTAATTCTGCTGACTTTCAAAGACAGGCTGTGAGGGACAAGCAGGGCTGACCTTGCAAGATGCCCTGGTTGTCGCATTGATTTGAGTCTGTGGGAAAACGATGGATGCTTAAATTAACCTATTGAAATACTCTCGGGCCTAACTATTGTAAAGCCGTGGTTCTCAACCTATGGGTCCCCAGATGTATTGGCCTACAACTCGCAGAAATCCCAGCCAGTTTACCAGCCATTAGGATTTCTGGGAGTTGAAGCCCAAAACATTTGGGCACCCACAGGTTGAGAACCACTGTCGTAAAGGCACTAGGATAATTGTGAATCTTGGGATCTAAGCAAGATCATCCCTGGTTAGTACTTGGATGGGACACTGCCAAGGGATACTAGGTGCTGAAGGCCATATTTCAGAAACGGCAAAACCACTTCAGAGTCTTCCTTGCCTAAGAAAGCCCTATGAAATTCATGGAGTCACCAGAAGTTAAAGGGTTTATTGAACGTACACACATAAATGACCCTAAATATGTCCAATATTTATTTAACTAGTTTAATACTCTAGTCATATAAGTATATTTGCACAGGAACACTTGGTGGATACCATCCTATATGTTCACATACAGGCACAATGAGAAAAGTATGCATTTAGCCTCTGTTCTATCTTTAAATAAAATTATTACGATTATAATTATTTATTTTTCTCCCATCTTTGTTCCCATAGGGAAACTATCCTATATGTTCCCATGTACATATACTGACAAAAAGAAGGGTTTAACCAATTTTATGCCTACTGGGTTTTATGCCTACACTGCCGATAATCTGGATTTTTATTTATTATTATTATTTATTTATTTCGAGGTTTTATATACCGACCCTCTCACCTTCAAAGAGGGATTCAGACCGGTTCACAACATGTGTTAACATACAAAAAATATACAATAACAACACAATGCCACTTCATTACACGGTTAAAATATCAGCACTATACACGTTAAAACATTATCATCACAGTTAAAAGAGCCAACTCGTCCGACACCATCACAATCCCATTCATCATCCTCCTTTCATGTGGGCAAAGAATTAAATCAGTTGTCAAATGCCGCGTTCCACAACCAGGTCTTTGTTAGTTTCCTGAACGTCATGAGGGAGGGGGCAGTTCTGATCTCTAATGGCAGGGAGTTCCAAAGTCGAGGGGCCACCATCGAGAAGGCCCTGTCCCTCGTCCCCACCAGCCGTGCTTGTGCAGGCGGAGGGACCGAGAGCAGGGCCCCTCCAGACGATCTTAGTGGTCTTGATGGTTCGTAGGGGAGAATACGTTCGGAGAGGTAAACAGGGCCGGAGTCGTTTAGGGCTTTATAGGTTAACACCAGCACTTTGAATTGTGCTCGGAAGCTAATCGGCAGCCAGTGGAGTTCGAGTAACAGCGGAGTGGTGTGCTCCCTGTACCCCGCACCCGTTAGTAATCTGGCTGCCGCGCGTTGTACTTGCTGCAGCTTCCGGGCAGTCTTCAGAGGCAACCCCACGTAGAGAGCGTTGCAGTAATCTAAGCAGGATGTAACCAAAGCGTGTACTACCGTGGCCAAGTCAGCCCTCCCAAGGTACGGACGCAGCTGGCGCACAAGTTTTAATTGTGCGAAACCTCCCCTGACCACCGCTGAAACCTGGGGTTCCAGGCTCAGCGATGAATCCAGGAGAACTCCCAGACTGCGTACCTGTGCTTTTAGGGGGAGTGTGACCCCGTCCAGCACAGGCTGTAACCCCGTACCCTGTTCGGTCTTACGACTGACCAGGAGTACCTCTGTCTTGTCTAGATTTAGTTTCAATCTGTTGTCCCTCATCCAGTCCGTGACAGCGGCCAAGCACCGGTTCATGACCTGAACAGCCTCCTTAGTGGCAGGTGGAAAAGAGTGATAGAGTTGGACATCATCTGCGTACAGATGACATCGCACCCCAAAACTCCGGATGATCTCTCCCAACGGCTTCATGTATATGTTAAACAACATAGGGGACAGTATTGAGCCCTGCGGGACTCCACAGTGCAATGGCCGAGGAGTCGAGCAGGAGTCCCCTAGTGACACCTTCTGGGAGCGACCCTCGAGAAAGGACCGGAGCCACTGCAAGGCAGTACCCCCAAGACCCATTCCCGCGAGGCGTCCCAGAAGGATACCGTGGTCGACGGTATCGAAGGCCGAAGAGAGGTCCAGCAGAACCAACAGGGACACACTCCCCCTGTCCAGTTCCCGGCGCAGATCATCAACTAAGGCGACCAAGGCTGTCTCAGTACCATGTCCCGACCTAAAGCCAGACTGTGACGGATCTAGATAGTCCGTGTCCACCAGGCAGTATAGAAGGGGCCTTAGTGACTCAGGAGCCCCTGGTGGTGCAGTGGGTTAAACCCTTGTCCCGACAGGGCTGGACTGAAGACCAACAGGTCGGAGGTTCGAATTCAGGGAGAGCACGGATGAGCTCTCTGTCAGATCCAGATCCAGCTCCCCATGCGGGGACATGAGAGAAGCTTCTCACAAGGATGATAAAGCATCATAACATCTGGGCATCCCCTGGGCAATGTCCTTGCAGACAGCAAATTCTCTCACACCAGAAGCGACTTGCAGTTTCTCAAGTTGCTCCTGACACGAGAAAAAATGTGACTCATTGAGAATAAGCGGATTACAGACAGTTTCTATAAAAATTGATAGGTTTTAAAAATAAAGAGACACTTGTATGCATGCTAAATTTCAGGATTATAAATTTCAAAGTCTTTTAACTATATACACATATTTGTTGCTATAGATGACACTTCGTTTTTCTATCATATTATGTGTTCTTGATCTTTTTCTCTCTTTTTCTTCTTAGACAATTGACTTTTTAAATGACAACATCCGAAGAGGAATTGTAAATTATTATGATGACCTAGACTTCAAGAACATAATGGATTTTGTTCAAGAGGAGGTTTGTTTTAGGTTGCCAATATTCAGTGTAGTCCATGGGGACTCTCCAGGGGTATTGCTTTCATTGGTTTTCATTGAACTGGTTATGGAGTTGCTTGTGGCTTATTTAGTGAAAGATTGTTCAGTAATTGCTATATAAAGCAAGGGTTATATAACTAAGGTGGATCAAAATTCTATCTGTGGGGGCCTCACACATGACTAAAAGTGCTAAAAGAACAAGAAGCTGGAAGTTGCTGGAATATTGTTTCTTGCTTTGAAAAATTCCAGCAGAAGTCCAAAAGAATCAAGGCCCGCAAAAACAGTGCTGAAGGCTTGTACTTTGTTCACCATGATAAATGGCCAAAATGCCAACATATTATAAGCATGAGTAATAACTCCCAAAAATGTAGGGGGTGGGGTGGAAATCATAGTTTCTCATAGTGATGATTTGGGGTACAGTTCACAAAAAAAGCTTTCTTGTGGACAAGATCAAATGAAGTGCATGGAAGATCTGTGAAAAGTTCATAGAACTGAAACTTGACCTAACATACTTCCCATCAGATTGTTTCTCTTATTATTATTTTTAATTGCAATATTCTTTCTTGAATTAAAAAAAAAGAGGAAAATGTTTTAGACTTTTATAAGTTCACAACTTTTTAGTGTGCCTCTGCTTACAAATTAATTGTCTGATTGAAAAGCATGGCTCCTTCCAGTGAAATAATAATAATAATAATAATAATAATAATAATAATCTTTATTTAATACCCCGCCACCATCTTCCCAATGGGGACTCGGGGCGGCTTACATGAGGTCAAGCCCCCCCCCCCCATCTTGGGAAAGCTTGATTCCACAACCCCCGTTATAATTGATTGTGATGTATAACTTGATTGTTTTAATTGTTTATAATTGCTGTTGATACATGTTTTATCTTATTGTTTGTTGTTGGCATCTAATTGTGCCTTTTGTAAGCCGCCCTGAGTCCCCCCTCGGGGGTTGAGAAGGGCGGGGTAGAAATGCGCGAAATAAATAAATAATAAATGAATAATGAGCCCTCCTCCACAAATAACCTGCTTCCCTTTTATCTCGCCTGAGTTTTTAATTAGTTTTTAATTACTTCTTCTTTTAATCATTACATGTAGCCCTCCCATTGTCATTGTGTTTGTGCTTATTGTAATTTTATATTGTTATGCATTCACCTGTCTTATGTAATTATGATGTTGTTGTTGTTATTGTTAGCATTTTCGGTTTGCGTTTTTGGTTTTCCTTATTGTAATTGTTGTCCGGGCTTGGCCTTATGTAAGCTGCTCCGAGTCCCCATCGGGGAGATGGTGGCAAGGTATAAATAAAGTTTATTATTTTATTATTATTATCATACTCAGAGTGCATTGCAGTAATCCAATCTAGATGTAACTAAGGCATGGAGTTCCATGGCCAAGTCAGGCTTCCTGCAGTATGGTTGCAGCTGGCGCACAAGCTTTAACTGTGTGAAGATCCCCCCCAGCCACTGCCGACACCTGAGCTTCAAGCTTCAGTGCTGAGTCAAGGAGCACCCCCCCCCCCCCCGCCCCGGCTGCATTTCGGTCTTTGGCTAGGCCATAGCTGCTCTTCAAACTAACTAGCTCATTAATTTAGTATGCTCATCTTTGACATGAGGGTGCTGAAAATTTGAAGTAAATTAAAACAATATCAATAATGGTGGTTATTAGAGACTATTAGGATTGCTTTGTTCGAGGATGGAAAAGTAACTTTTGTTTTGTAAGTTCCAGAATCTCTGTAGCCATATAGACTGGGAAATCTTGGCAGTACTACAAAAATTATGTTTCAAAATGTTGATTTTGCCAATTTGGTTAGGATCTGTCCTTGGGTTCTTGTTTCCTTTGCAGAGTCCTTCTCTGGTGTTCCAGCCACTATGAACCTGAGAAGCCGCAAGCCACTTAACTTTTATTTGCTTGAATCAAAATATGCACATTTGGATTTCAAAATACACTACAGGTTGTCTTTTGCTTCCTGTTTTTTTTAAAAAGGAAGCCAGGTTATACACTCTGCCAGTCTTAGGGAACAGAGGCTGCTGACATGGCTCGTCTGCTAGCCGCCTTTGGGGTGTCTATTTATGGATTTATATTCTGTTTTTCAAGAAGGATATTTTGAGGGTTGATGACAATATAAAAATGAAAAAAACAGTAGAATCATAAATTAAGAATAGAATAGTAGCTGCAGCATAATCTGAAGCGTTTGCATCTTTGTCTAATCCCACACAGTTATCAAATTAACAGTGTCATCTAATCAAAACAATATCTGTTCTTTTTGAGCCCAATGTGTTGAATTCCTGAGTTAGCTCCCAAAGAAATACTTCAGATTTCTATATTGTATTGTTGAAGGCTTTCATGGTCGGAATCACTGGGTTGTTGTAGGTTTTTTCGGGCTATATGGCCATGTTCTAGAGGCATTTTCTCCTGACGTTTCGCCTGCATCTATGGCAAGCATCCTCAGAGGTATGCTTTTCGACCATATAGCCCGAAAAAACCTACAACAACCCAGATTTCTACATTATTTGTTCTAGAATACACATTTAGGAACCTATCATGACTGAACTTAATATTTACACTTGTATTGACATCTCAAATATCTTTTTGCAAGTTTGAGACTGAGAAGGAAACTTCAGATCCTTGCATCTCTCCACCTGCCTCCCCCCCCCCCAAATTCCATTTTCTACTTGGCCATAATTTGTGATATACCTATCATTTGCATAAATGTAGAGAACATTAGGCATTCCTTCACTTATCATCTCTACCTGGATATATGTGCATGTGTATAGTGCATGTTTAAACTTGCACATTTCTCCTAACTTCAGCAGCAGTGTCTGGATTCCACATTTCAGTGTCAGCATGTACCACTAACAAATTATCTTTCACAGTGTTAAATATGTTCCTTGCCTTTATTTTGTGTGAGTTGTAATGAATAATGATGGGTTTGGGTTGTCGAAGGTTTCATGGTTGGAATCACTGCACTGCTATGAGTTTTCCGGGCTGTATGGCCAAGTTCCAGAAGCATTCTCTCCTGACGTTTCGCCAAAGGATCTATAGCAGGCATCCTCAGAGATTGTGAGGCCTGTTGGAAACTAGGCAAGTGGGGTTTATATATCTTTGGAATGTCCAGGGTGGGAGAAAGTACTCTTGTCTGCTTGAGGTAAGTGTGAACACTGCAATTGGCTACCTTGATTATTTATTTATTGATTTACAGTATTTATATTCCGCCGAACTCATCCCCCAGGGTACTCAGGGCAGATTACAATGTACATATACATGACAAACATTCAATGCCATAGACACACAACATATATAGACAGACACAGAGGCAATTTAATATTCCAGCTTTTCTTGAGGGTATTTTGGCCACCAGGGCATCTGTTCCTTCACCGACCATTTGTGACACTGATGGAGTACTTCCTCATTCTTTGCATGCTTGCTGGAGATTTTTATGGCCTCATAAATTAGTTAAATTTGCCTCCCCGCATAAGCGGTACCTAAATTTCCTACTTGATAGATGCAACTGTCTTTCGGGCTGCAAAGGTTGACAGCAAGTTACACAAATTGGTGAGAACCTCACTCTGACCCCGGGCCGGCATCAAACTCATGACCTTTTGGTCAGTAGTGATCTTAATGCAGCTGACTCCCAGCCAGCTGTGCCACAGTCCTGGTGATTAGCATTGAATGGCCTTGCAACTTCAAAGCCTGGCTGCTTCCTGCTTGGGGGAATCCTTTGTTGGGAAGAGTTACTTGGCCCTGGTTCTTTCTCCCACCCTGGGCATTCCACAGATATATAAACCCTACTTGCTTAGTTTCCAACAGACCTCACAACCTCTGAGGATGCCTGCCATAGATGTGGGTGAAACATCAGGGGAGAATGCTTCTGGAACATGGGCATACAGCCCGGAAAACTCATAGCAACTCAATGATGGGTTTTGTATATTGGCTGTTTCAGAGTTAAATATGTAATTTATGAATTTAAAAGTAGTATTAGGTATCTTTTCATGTATTTTAAAGATAAGAAATTCCATCGTGAGGCCCCTATGGCAGTTATGAGGGATTTACAAAAAGCTTTTAATTAACTCTATTTACATTTGACAATAATGTTAAGAATGTTGCATAATTTCTTTCTTCTTCTTCTTAAAGTTTAAATGTTGTGGTGGAGAGGATTTTAAAGACTGGTCAATGAATCAGTACCATGACTGTTCTGCCCCAGGACCAATGGCTTGTGGAGTTCCTTACTCTTGCTGTATCACGAATAAGGTAAAAGTAATTATTATTTGATATGAATTTAGCAGTTAACTGTTCCTCTCGTGTCAATAAATACCAGCTTCCCAATGGAAAGATGAATGTTTACCAAGTCAAAGGCACAGTCAGTAATACACCACCTCGTTCGTATGAATCCTTTTCTGGACCATTTGCACTCTGGGAAATAATCCAGTGGGAACTTTTCTTTTTCCAACATAGGTGTACTTTCTAACGTATCTGAATAGATTTCTTTCCCTGTAACTTTTTTATATTTCTTAGCTTTAAAATCAAACTGGTAAATATTTTTCAAGGATTCATATAGAAAATAAAAACTTCCTAGTGCCGTAAAGTGTTCCTGTGACGTGAAATTCTTATCCAGGTAAACCCGGGCTCTGTTGTAGTCTTTCATTGCATCACTTGATAACAATTCTTTAACAAATTTGTCCACGTGAGACATTGATGCTTCATAGTTTTTCCCACCAAACTCTTGACAGTGTAATGCCATGAAATGTGGCTTGTGCGCATGAACAACCTGGGGGGAAACCAGCAGCATCTACCACCAAAATAAGACAAATACGTTTCTCCCTGCTTCCCAATGAGAAAGGAGCTTAGCAAATGAAATCAGTACCATCAGCAGCAATTCCTGTGTGGAACTAGGATTCATTGTGCACATTTGTGTACACATACTTTAACTAGTTTTAAAGTTACATCTTTTGACTGGTGGACTTCAGAATTTGTAGTCTAAAAAACTCAGCTCTGGCCATGGAGACCAATTTTGATTTTTGGAGGGTTTTTGTTCTTTTTTAAATTCTTTTTGGGGATTTTTAAAGCAATTCTGTGGATTTGCATTATGACTCTATCTTGGGCTCCTTCCACACAGCTGAATAAAATCCCACATTTTCTGCTTAGAACTGAATCAGAGTAAATAAATCTTCTTTGTTTGACATATATGGCTGTGTGGACTCAGATAACCCAGTGTAAAACAGATATTGTGGGATTTTTTGCCTTAATAATCTGGGCGCCCTTTCACCCAGGCCTACATAATAATAATAATAATAATAATAATAATAATAATAATAATAGTGATGATGATGATGATGATGATGATGATGCTTTATTTGTACCCCGCTACCGTCTCCCCAAGGGACTCGGTGCGGCTTACATGAGGCCGAGCCCAAACACAACAGTACAAGCAATAATAACAACAATACAAGCAATTGAAACACATAGACAATAAGATAAACAACATTATCAATAAAACAACACATAATTAAAAACAGTGGGAAGGCCAAATGTTAAGTTAAAATTGGAAATAATGCTAGGACATGAACGGAAGGTGATACTGGTGTTTGTGATATTCTGTATCCTAGAATATCAAGGCAGAAAATCCCACATTATCTGAGTGTGGACTTCGATAACCCAGTTCAAAGCAGAAATTGTGGGATTTTCTGCCTTGATATTCTGGGATATAAGGCTGTGTGGAAGACCCAACATAAAGAGAGGGTGATAATGGTAATAAAATATTGTTATTTCTCTGGTATTACCTGTGATAAAATTGTGCAGGTAAGTATGTTTACACATTAAAAATGTAAAAGTACTCAAAGTTCTTCTTATATTAAAGTACAGTCTTTGAAATTTTGCAGAACTGTCTCTGTATGCTAATTTGTCTTGAAAGTGAAGTACCAACTGTCTCTAGAACCGAATCAGAGTGAATAAATCTTCTTTGTTTGACATATATTTTCCAAATCAGCTTGGCTTTTGCATTGGAAAAGTACAGATGTGAGCAGCAATTAGTCATTTGCTCTTCCAGTCATGGAAACATGCTGTTAATATATGAGGTCAATGCTTTTGTGTTTGGCCGAATTTCACACAATGCGTAAAATACAAATATGAGACTTCAGTGTAAATATATAAGGATGGTATAATCCATTTCTTTTTCCAGTCAAGCCAGGGCAGCTCAAAGGTTGGGTTGCTCCAAGAAAGTTTGCCAAATCAAATGGGTTTACTTTGTTACATTGATGTTGAGTGCTTATTTATATTTCTGGAAGTCCTGAGCATAGTTTTCTTCTCTTATGACATTTGTGGCCCAAGTTAAGCCTCGCCACCACAGTGACCTTAGAAGTAGTCGAAAGACCATTCCTAGTTTTGTAAAAACAATTTGGGGAGACAAAGTGGAGTGTGGTGTGTGCGTGCGTGCGTGCTTCTTGTTTAAACAGAAAACTACAGCTCTTGGAGGCTTTGAAGAGTGGCATGTTCCTATTTCGGCTATTTCTCTCCCTAGAAGTATGTATGTGGCGGCAGGTGTATGTGACAGCTTTCTGATTGGCTGCCACTTTCACAGGCCACTGTGACCAACACGGGTGACACACCTGGACCAAACTTGGCACACATAACCCCCATCACCCCCTTTATGTCCAGGTGAGGATTTGGGAAGGTGGACTACGGATTACAGGATTTGTAGTACTTTCAAACGGTTTGGTTCGCACGGATCACTGTGGCCCCCAACAAACACCGATACAGACCAAACTTGGCACACAGAGCCTCAATGACCCACTCTACATCCTACTGCAGTTTGGAAGAGGGCAGACCATCGATGATGGGACTTGAAGTACCTCCACTCGCTTTCTGAGACCGCTGCGACCCTCAACAATGACTGAACAAGACCAAACTTGGCACTCATAACCCCAATTCAGGGCACCTTGTTCTTCTAACTTATTAAAATTCCCCCTTGAGTTTTGTATCCATTCCTTCCAGAAAAGAGCAGTTTCCCCCTCCACTATTTTTTTTATGTTTAATTTTAATTCTCAGGTCTTCTGGAAAAATTTCCAGTAAAACTATTGGGGTTAGGGGGGGAAATTCCTGGAAATATCTTATTTTTTAACTTAACCCATGTCTCCATAACATCTTTAGTCAGGGTCGACAGTTCTTTACATGGTAGTCTTCTTTCTCACAAAGTCCTAGAACTTCAACTGCAGGTAAAGGTTTCTTTAGAGCAGGGGTCCTCAAACTTTTTAAACAGAGGGCCAGGTCACAGTCCCTCAAACTGTTGGAGGGCCGGATTATAATCTGAAAAAATAATGAATGAATGTCTTTGCACAGTGTACATATCTTATTTGTAGTGCCCAAAACACTTTAAAACAATACAATAATTAAAATGAAGAACAATTTTAACAAATATAAACTTATTAGTATTTCAATGGGAAGCGTGGGCCTGCTTTTGGCTGATGAGATAGGATTGTTGTTGTTGTGTGCTTTTGAGTCCTTTCACATTTAGATTGACCCTGAGCAAGGGCCGGGTAAATGACCTTGGAGGGCCGTATCCGGCCTCTGGGCCTTAGTTTGAGGACCCCTGCTTTAGAGCAACTTCTCAGGAAAAGTGCTCTTATGTAACATCAACTGCTGAAGGAAGTCCACATGTAATACCATACTACGTCTTAGCAAATAGGAAACTCCCTTGGCCTGAAGGCATTAATCTGTCTAGCATGTTATTTTCTGCCATGATTGACAGCAGCCCCCTGACCCAATTTTCCGGTCTGGAGACTCAGCCTGGATTACTGCCTCTGTGCCATTTAGTGATAAAGTTAAACACAGCTTTTGAGTACTGAAACTTGTTTCTAAAGCCTCACCCAGAGGTGGGGCACAGACACAACAGGCACTTTTCCTTACTGAAAGCTGCTATCTCCAGATTGGCACCACTCCAAGCCAGTTGCTATGTGTCAGGCTCTGCATTGGATTTGCCTCTCCCAGTTCTCTCTCTGCATCCCTTCTGCAGACATAAGACCAGATGAGGTAAGCTCTCCTGGCAACGGAGACAAAATTTGCTACCCTTAAATTGCATCTTGGATTTAACACCCAAGGGAAGCCTTCAGCCAGCCTTAGCCTATAAACAAAAGTGATTAGAAATGCCCAATGATATAATCAATGCAAACTATTTTATTGTAAATCACTTGATACTTTTGCCAAAGCGGACGGCACTTAAAAAAACAAAAACAAACAAAAAGAATAGAACTACTGATGATCTAATTGCCAGATGGCCGTAATAAGAAAACATTAACTCTTGTCTGTATCTATGTTTATGCACAGCATAGCTTCTGGTGATGTTTTCCTTTGGACAAAATCCCATCATCCTTATTGACCCTAGATTTCTGGAGCATCCCAGAATCCATGCTACAAGTAGTCAATGCATTATTATTATTATTATTATTATTATTATTATTATTTCAAACACAACAAGATGAGTCCACAGCAGACACTCTGCTGGCTGTTCTATTGGATCACACGTCGGACACTTCCCAAGTGTCTAGGACTGTGTGATGTATCACTGAATAATGTGTGCAGATCACAGTACAATGGCCTTCTGCAGCTGGCAGATGGTAATTTTGTAGTTTTTAAGGGCAGGGCAAGGTCTTTAGGCACTGCACCCAGTGTGCCGATCACCACTGGGACCACCTTGACTGCCTTGTGCCAGAGTCTTTGCAGTTTGATCTTTAAATCCTCATACTGTGTCAGCTTTTCCAGTTGTTTCTCTTCAATCCTGCTGTCACCTGGGATTGCAACATCAACAATCCATACTTTGTTTTTTAACACGATCATGAGGTCAGGAGTATTGTGCTCCAAAACTCTGTCTGAATCTGGAAGTCCCAGAGTAGCTTGACATACTCGTTTTCTGTAACTTTTTCCGGCTTGTGATCCCACCAGTTCTTTGTCACAGGCAGATGGTATTTGTGGCACATTTTTCCGAATGAAGCAGAGAGTGTTTGAGGACCAGGACATCCATAGGGATACCAAGGTGCTTGTTTATAAAGCTATTGTCCTCCCAACCCTGCTATATGCCTGCAAGATGTGGACAGTCTACAGACGTCACATGCAGCTCCTGGAACGATTCCATCAATGCTGCCTCTGGAAAATCCTGCAAATCTCCTGGGAAGACAGGCGGACAAATGTCAGCGTGCTGGAAGAAGCAAAGACCACCTGCATTGAAGCGATGGTCCTCTGCCATCAACTCCGCTGGACTGGCTATGTTGTCCGGATGCCCAACCACCGTCTCCCAAAGCAGTTGCTCTACTCCGAACTCAAGAACAGAAAACAGAATGTTGGTGGGCAGGAAAAGAGATTTAAAGATGGGCTCAAAGCCAACCTTAAAAACTCTGGCATAGACACTGAGAACAGGGAAGCCCTGGCCCTTGAGCTCTCCAGTTGGCGGTCAGCTGTGACCAGCAATGCTGCAGAATTTGAAGAGGCACAAATGGAGGGTGAAAGAGAGAAATGTACCAAGAGGAAGGCGCATCAAACCAACCCTGACCGGGACCGCCTCCCACCTGGAAACCGATGCCCTCACTGCGGGAGAAGATGCAGAGCAAGAATAGGGCTCGACAGTCACCTACGGACCCACCCCTGGGTTACCACTCTTGGAGGACCATCATCCTCAGACTACGAGGGATCACCTAAGTAATAAGAATTTGTGGCACAAGTTCTAAAATATTATTATTATTATTATTATTATTATTATTATTATTATTATTAGTGTTCTGTGTTTATTATTTATTTAATATTTCAAGATGTGTAAAAAGGAGGCAAATGAATACAGTATATTGCTAGATAGTTTTGCCCATATTGGTTTGAAAAAAAGTATCCATGTAGCATTGTATTTACAGTGTTCATTTCTCCCACAGACAGCTGTTATCAACACCATGTGTGGATATAACACTATTGACAAAGAGGTAGGAGCATGTATCAATGTTTTTGTTATTTGAGACTCTTTACCTTGCACTCTTGAAACTTGTATTTGGTCTGTCATGGTCTGTTTCTGTCATGGATTAGGGTAGGGGAAACTTTTCAATTTACTTTGTTGCTGCATAGTTTTTTTTGGGTTTTTTTGCATCCATGCAATATCTGTATGCAAAGAACAGGACATAAATAACTTGAAAATCCATCTGGCCTCCTCCGGAGCAGATCCTAATGACACTACATCTGCTTTTTTAGGATGGGATAATATAATTTTTTTTTTTGTCGTGTCAGGAGTCGCTCCTGTTGTGAGAGAATTGGCCATCTGCAAGGACGTTGCCCAGGGGACGCCCGGATGATTTTTGATGTTTTTATCATCCTTGTGGGAGGCTTCTCTCATGTCCCCGCATTAGGAGCTGGAGCTGATAGAGGGAGCTCATCCGCCTCTCCCCGGATTCGAACCTGCGACCTGTCGGTCTTCAGTCCTGCCGGCACAGGGCTTTAACCCACTGCGCCACCAGGGGCTCCTAATATAACATAATAATAATAACTTTATTTTTATACCCCACCAACCATCTCCCCTAGGGGACTCGGGGCGGCTTACAAGGGACACACCCAAAATTACAATTAAAACACACATGTAAAACACTTAACCAATTAAAACATCAGATAAAAACAACGGCACAATGGAAAGAAATATAAAATCAATACGGCTGAAAGAAACATAACTGAGGTATAGATTAAATGAGTGCAATACATCTTTTGGGCATCCTGTCAGATCCCCAAAATCTGGAGGAAAGCAAGAGTCATTGCCATCTTGAAGCCAGGGAAAGACCGTAATGATCCAAAAAGCTATAGGCCAATCTCCCTGTTGTGCCACCTTTACAAAGTTCTGGAGAGACTTATTTTGCATAGAATTATGGAAAAAATAGACCCATGTCTGATTCCGCAGCAAGCTGGCTTCAGGAAAGGCAAAAGCTGCGCATCGCAAGTGCTGAACCTGACTCAGCACATAGAAGATGGCTTTGAAAGACAGCAGATCACAGGAGCTGTCTTCATAGACCTGTCAGCGGCTTATGATACCGTAAACCACTGCCTCCTCCTGAAAAAAAATTATAGTATCACAAAGGAGTACCGTCGCACCTGCCTCATAGGAAACCTGCTACAAACAGGAGCTTTTTTGTTGAGTTCCAGGGCCAGAGAAGCAGATGGCGGAAACAGAAGAACGGCCTGCCTCAGGGGAGCGTGCTTGCCCCATCTATGTTCAACATCTACACAAATGACCAGCCACTGCCAGAAGGGACAGAGAGCTTCATCTATGCTGATGATCGTGCCATTACTGCTCAAGCAGGGAGCTTTGAGTATGGTTGAATAGAAGCTCTCCTAAGCTCGAGGTGCTCTTACTGCCTATTACAGTGAAGACATCTGCCCTTGCGCTGTGCTACTCTGCTGCTGAGTATGCATGCCCAGTGTGAAACACATCTCACCACGCTAAAACAGTGGATGTGGCTCTTAATGAGACATGCCACATTATCACGGGGTGTTTGTGCCCTACATCACTGGAGAAATTACACTGTCTGGCCGGTATCGCACCACCTGACATCCGCCGGGAAGTAGCAGCCAATAGTGAAAGGACCAAGGCAGAGACATCTCCAGCCCATCCCTTGTTTGGGTATCAGCCAGCACGTCAATGACTTAAATCAAGAAATAGTTGCTGGAACACCCCAGCAAGCGAGAGTCCAAAAGTGGCAGGCTCAAACCCAGAACCTCAATCAATGGCTGATACCAAATGAGAGACTCCCCCCTGGGCACACAGAAAACTGGGCAACTTGGAAGGCACTAAACAGACTGCACACTGGCACCACGAGATGCAGTGCCAACCTTAAGAAATGGGGCTACAAAGTGGAATCCACAACATGCGAGTGTGGAGAAGAGCAAACCACTACTGCAATGCAACCTGAGCCGTGCGACATGCACAATGGAGGACCTCCTTGCAGCAACACCAGAGGCACTCCAAGTGGCCAGCTACTAGTCAAAGGTCAAAGGTCATCTACTAAGCTTGCAAATTCTGTGTTTTGTCTGTCTGTTTGTTTGTTTTTGTTAAAAATATAATACAAATATCCGGTTGCAGATGACACAATAAATAAATATCTTTACAGGAGCACAGAAAAGTGCAACAATACATAAACTGGGCAGGAAATACTGTCATAACATATATTGAGGTAGAACGTATGCCAGGGATGGTTTTCTGTAAGCATATCTGCTTCTGAGTAAATCTCTAAAGATCAGACTAATGAGAAACAGTGTTCTTTGTGCTTTCTTTGCATCATAATTGAAATTAGAATCTCTTTGGGATATTGCCTTTACTAAAAATAAAAAAACAGGAAACAAGAACTGCAAATTGCAGCAGTTGTTCCTGAGAAACAGAAATGCCCTTCCTTTTCTATCATTCACTGCACTCCGGGAGAGCATATTGTTTCATTTGGGAATTCTAGTAATAGTCTCAAATAGGAATGAATTACATATCTTCTCTCTCACTCATTTGTGATTTAAAAATGAGATCGGATGCTACTAAATAAAGTAGAAAAGTGTCTTGAACTTAGAGCTCTCTTTAATGATGATAAAAGGGATGTTCCATCAAACAAGGCATCATAGATCTCCCTGCGAGGTTGATGTTTGAGATGTAACAACCTTTACTCTATTTCATTGCATGTTTTGAATTCCCACGTCAATTCCCATCTTTCATTCCCATTAGTCTTGAGACTTCATTTTTTTCTTCCTGTGAAGAAATTCACATGCATTTTCCATATGTATTTTTTTCTAGTGCATCTCATTTTTAATGTAAATGTGTTAAAAACATATCCATTTTCCCTAATAGTAATATAACAATATATTTTATCTGTATTCTGCTCTATCTCTGTGAGGAGACTCAGAGCAGATTACAGGTACATATATGACAAACGTTCAATGCCGTTATACAATTGACAAATAAAGACAGTACATAAACTGAGGCAGGCTTCCCTCTTTTCATCTTCGGCATCGGGCAGTGCTCAACTCAGCTATGGGGAGGTGCTGTTGTTTAATTTTCCACGCCGAGGAGCCTGTCGTCCAGGGACGCCTTTCCTGCTTGAATTTTGGTTGGCATGTTTTTCAGGGTGCCTTTTACTTCACCTATTTATGTACTTATGAGGGTTGAATGAAAAGTAATGCTGCCACTTTGGTAACTCCTCAACAGATGGCAGTACTGGTATGTGCCAGGTACTGGCTTATTCAGTAGACTCTCCTCTACAGTTCCATTTTGGCGGGAAGCCTTAGCATTGAACGGTTGTGTTGTTAAAGCGTGAAGTATGGAACCATGCGCAGATGGTCGGTCAGTGCAACATAAGCAACGTGCAGTCATTGAATTCTTGACAGCAGAAAGTGTCACCCCAAAAGAGATTCATCAGAGAATGCAAGCTGTTTATGGTGATTGTGTTGATGTGAGTACTGTGCGTCGTTGGGCAAGTAAGTTTAAAGATGTTGAGGTGGGAACATCTGACTTGCGTGACAAAGAATTGGACATCCTGTGACAGCCAACCACTGAGTTTCACAAGCAAAAGGTTGACAGATTGATTCAGGACGATTGTCTTATCATTCAGAGAGAAATTTCGAGCAGAATCGGCATTTTACAAGAACATGTGGGTCACATTATTGCTTTGCTTGGCTATCAGAAGATATGTGCACGATGGGTACCCAGGATGCTGACGGATGGTATGAAAGCGCACAGACTTGCAACTTCAGAGACGGGATCTCACCACCATATGACATCCTCCATACACTCCAGATTTAGCACCGTCTGACTTCCATCTGTTCCCGATAATGAAATCTGTGTGGGACATCATTCTGCTTCTGATGAAGACGTTGAGAGAACAGTGAAACGCTGGTTGCGGAAACAGAGTGTCGACTTCTTCCGTGACGGCTTCAGAAAACTTATTCATTATTGGCAGAAATGTATCCAATTGTCTGGTGATTATGTGGAAAAGTGAATAGTGGTAGTTAAAGAGCACATTCTAAGGATTATTTCAGCATTTGATTTATTACAATATTCCCATCCAAACCCAAGTTATGAAGGTGGAGACATTACTTTTCATTCAACCCTTGTACATTGTTGGTTTCAAACTGCTAGGAGAGCAGAAGCTGGGCTGACAGCAGGAGCTCACCCCGACCAGGGATTAAACTGTCAATCTTCTGGTCAACAGCATCTTCTATAGCAGGCAGTTGAACCCGCTGTGCTAGCCCGGCCCTAATGTATACTTGCATGCATCTCCCCCTCACCAGTGAATTAAGCCACCCCATATAAGTTGCTTCGAGTCCTTTCGGGGAGATAGTGGTGGGGTATAAGAATAAAGTTGTTGTTGTTGTTATGTCGGTTAAAACTGTAGTTTTCAACCTAACATTTTTAGCTGTTTGCATTTTAAAAACATATCCCTGGGGTTGCTCTTTAATTTTTCCAAAATGCAATGCAGATTTCTGAGGCAAGGTATGTGTTTCTCCCACAATAATTCTGGGGAGGTTGTATCACAGTGAGTCCACCAAGTTTTATGTTGTCATGCAGTAAATATGTTCCATCACTGAGAGTATATGGGTAATTTTTTTTGTTGAAAATCTTGAGCTCACTCACATTATTTTTCAGTCCAAGCTAACTATATCAAATTATAATAAATGGAGTGTCGCACACATGGAGACAACATCTTATAAGCAAGAAATCATAATCAACAAAGCAAGACAAGCCAACCTTTTGAGCAGATTGCAAAACAATAATGCATTGCTTCTGATGTCAGATTGTGGAACCAGGAAAGAATTTTGTTCCTTCCAAATTCTGTTGGAACAAATGATGTCGTCAGACTACACAGAGAAGCTATTGAAATACACAAGCATGTGGGAAATTTCAACAGAAAGGAGGAAACCATGAAAATGAACAAAGTCTGGCTACCAGTATTAAAAAACTCTAAAATTACAACAGCACAACAACAGAGAGGAAACAAACAAGGACATCTAATCACCTCTCAACAAAAGTTTGCTCCAGGCACTGTCAGGCCATTATATGCTAATCAAGGTGGTCAGTTGAAACATTCACACCTAGCTCCAGCAGACAAGAGTCCTTTGTCTCACCCTGGTCATTCCACAGATATATAAACCCTTTTTCCTAGTTCCAACAGACCTCACTATCTCTGAGGATGCTTGCCGTAGATGCAGGCAAAACGTCAGGAGAGAATGCCTTTAGACCATGGCCATATAGCCCAAAAAAACCTACAACAACCCGATGTTGTCATTAGTATTCTGAAAGTAAAAACTAAGCCAGCTTGGGGTGCTTTGGAGACAGAGTTCTACAGTGTGGGTGCCTTCATAGAAAAAATGTCTGGCCCTTGATGTCAGTCCTGAGAAGGCTCTCCTAGCCTGTCACTCTCTGATGATTTGAGCATGGGGAAAGCTTTTACAGAAATAGGTGTTTGGTAAGGGAATAATCTTGCCAAATAATGCTGACCAAAATCCAGCAGTGCATTCTTTTTGAAAAATTCTGTGGAACTCTGAGTGAGCCTTTGAAACAATGCCCATATTGTTCCAGGGGATTTGTCAGTCTGCTGTGTGAAGACTGTGGTTGTTATTTTACAGCGCCTGAGTGTTCAACCCTTCATACACGTGAGAGGATGCACCAATGCGGTACTCATTTGGTTTCTGGACAACTATGCCATCATGGCAGGCATTCTCCTTGGTATACTGTTGCCACAGGTAGGACTGATTACAAGGAAATGAGATATGTATTCCTTTCTTCTTTCCCTCCCACCTTTGGTTTTGGAGCTCTGAAGGGATGGCGTAAGGTGAGTGCATGTTAAAGAAGGCCAATTGCTTTGTTTTGTGACATTGGCCAACTCCTTTATCTCTGAAGTTTGTTAGACAGCTTAGCACATGGCTGAGATGTTTTGTATAACCCCCTCCCCCCCAAATAACATAATGTGGTTTTTGATAACTACAGCTGCATTGGTTACCAATTGAGCACCGGGTCACTTTCAAAGTGATGGTACTTACCGTTAAGGCCTTGCATGGTCTGGGGCCGATGTACCTGAGGGACCGCCTCACCCCCTACTAACACCAGAGATCCCTCCATTCTGAGGACCAAGATCTATTGGAAATTCCCAGTGTCAAGACCTTGCATCTAATAGCAACCAGAGGCAGGGCCTTTACAGCAGTGGCACCATCACTCTGGAATACTCTGCCACCTGAAGTCCGTGCCTTGCGGGATTTCTCAGCTTTCCGCAGGGCATGTAAGACATATCTATTTCGATGGGCCTTTGATCTCTGATTGTTTTTAAATTGTTTTAAATTGTTTTTAAATTGTGTTCGATTTCAGCCTGTTCTTGTAAGCCGCTCCGAGCCCCAGGGGAGTGGCGGCATATAATCATAGAATCATAGAATCAAAGAGTTGGAAGAGACCTCATGGGCCATCCAGTCCAACCCCCTGCCAAGAAGCAGGAATATTGCATTCAAATCACCCCTGACAGATGGCCAACCAGCCTCTGTTTCAAAGCTTCCAAAGAAGGAGCCTCCACCACACTCAGGGGCAGAGAGTTCCACTGCTGAACGGCTCTCACAGTCAGGAAGTTCTTCCTCGTGTTCAGATGGAATCTCCTCTCTTGTAGTTTGAAGCCATTGTTCCGCGTCCTAGTCTCCAGGGAAGCAGAAAACAAGCTTGCTCCCTCATCCCTGTGGCTTCCTCTCACATATTTATACATAAGTTCAAATAATAAACAAATAAATAAACCAAAGAAGATGGGAATAGAAGGGAAGTTTCTTCCTGAAAAAGGAATTTTGCTTCCACCCTTTTCTTCTCTTGTATGATTTCTTAAAAACTTTTTTCCCTGATGAAGAAGCCAGTGGAGCTTCAAAAGTACGCTTTTCGCATGTGGCAAATGAAGGGAGAATTGTGTTCGTGACAAGTTATATTTTCAAGTTACTTCTCAATGGAATTTTGAGAGATATTTTGGCAGGACTTCTTTACATTTAATACCATTTTATTCTCAATTCAGGGATTTTTTAAGGTAACAAACTAACAACAAAAAGAACAATTTGAAAAACAAGAGTTGTTTTCTGAACACTGTAATAAGCAATGGCAATTGTTCTGGAACAGCTGTTCCAGGAGCTCCAATTTTATTTCTTTGAATTAAATGTTGGTTTGCAATCCCAGGCTTGGGATTTTGCAGCAGGGTGGCTTCCTGTTATAATTTGCATTCATAGGACAAGCCACCTGTCAATAACAGTTAGGTTCCCTGGTCCCGCCCCTCTCTGGGTTTTTTTGGAGGGAAGGGGCCATTTTTCAGTCAGTCTCAAAAAGGAAGTCAATGCAGAGGATGTACACAAACGTCCTCCTGTGCAAAGGCTTCGTCTCTTAAGACTTCCTGGGGGAGAACAGTTTTAAGAGCCTCTACAGATTCCCAAAAGGTTCCAGGGAAACAGCTTTACAGCCCTGAGGACTTCCGGAGGGAATAACAGCTCTGCTCATCAACCAGCTAAGTGACTACAGGCCTGTTGATACGTCTGCTAGGTTCTGAGATGCAGTTCAGCCGGTAGTGGACTCAAATCAGTCAGGTTTAGGTTCACAGCAGCCTGGGAGGAGCTAAAAGGGGGAATTTTCTTTAGCAAAGTTCTTGAAGATAGTGCCTGTTTCCTGTAAACAAGATTGCAAGAGCTAATAGACTGATAAGAAAGCTTACAATTCCTGTTTGTTCATTAATAAAGAACTGTTATATTTAAGCTCAAGCCTCATAAAGACTGCTTAATAAGGGAAATTTTCCTAAAGGCTTCTTTTCGGGGGCCCTGGCTTCCCGCTGGATGCAAGCCTAACATCCTCTCTTAAAAGCACCTCATTTCGGCTCCAGCGGCGACAGAACAGCAATGAATTGCTTTTAAACTACAACGAGAAAGAAGAAAAATATTTCTTAAAAAGTAATGTTCCAAGTTCCAGGAAAAATGTTAGGGTAATACGTAGACCCCCAATTCAATGCCATTTTGAAAAAATGCATATGTAGAGAAACAAAGAAAATGTGATAAAAAGAAAGACTTGATGGAAACGGATTCTTTATAGAGCATAAGGAATGGATTCTTAAATAAACACCCTAGTAAGTGAACTGCAAAGATTCTTGATGAATAGATGGATCAGCCTCCTCTACCTCATATGGGAACAATCTGGATATAAGCCAAGTGATTTCCCAGACTACCAGAAATAGTTTGACATTTTACACACAAAGTCGCCTTCTGGAAATCTCCTTCCTACTTCTCCATACTCTCTAAGGGCTTTCCTTCCCCTCCCTTAAAATTAGACTTATATGCATAACAGCAGTAATGCTCCGAACGCAACAAGAAAACGGAAGATCTGAAACTTCCCTGCTGAGCAGCTCCTTTAGGAGTTATAGTTTTCTCAAGTCCTTTAGAGCAGGCATCCTCAAACTGCGACCCTCCAGCTGTTTGGGCCTCCAACTCCCAGAAGCCCTAACAAGTGTGTTCATTTGTCAGGAATATTTATATATATTAATAATAATAATAATAATAATAATAATAATACTTTATTTATACCCCGCTACCATCTCCCCAAGGGACTCAGTGCGGCTTACATGAGGCCAAGCCCACAGTACATCAATAAACAAAAGCAATAACAAAAACAATCAATACAATACAATTAATATAAATCACATAAACAATAAACTTATTTGCGGCATTTATATGCCGCCCTTCTCACCCCGAAGGGGACTCAGAGCGGCTTACAATATATATTTTCATACAATATATTATATTATTAGCATAGTACAATATCAGTATATATTACTATATTATAAATCACATAAAAAAATTAAACAATAAACAATATCTGCTTTGAACTAGGTTATCTGACCATTTATTTATTTATTTATTATTTATTTGGAAGTTTTATATACCGGCCTTCTCACCTCAAACGAGGGACTCAGGTCGGTTTACAACATATATGCAAATACAATAATATATAAGTACAACAGAGTGCAACATCATTACAGATTAAAATAGTACAATAAAGTACAATAAAAACATCATCATCACAATTACCCAAGCCAAGTCGTCAATATCAGTCACAGTCATAGTCATAGTCACAGTTCATCATCCTCCTTCCTTGTGGACGGAGGTTATAGATTCAGTCCTCGAATGCCACATTCCAGAGCCAGGTCTTTAGTAGTTTCCTGAAAGTCAGGAGGGAGGGAGCAGATCTAATCTCTAGTGGGAGGGAGTTCCAAAGCTGGGGAGCCACCACCGAGAAGGCCCTGTCCCTCGTCCCCACCAACCGTGATTGCGAGGGTGGTGGGACCGAGAGCAGCCCCCCCCCCCGGAAGATCTTAATAGCCTTGATGGTTCATAGGGGAGAATCCGTTCGGACAGGTAAACTGGGCCGGAGTCGTTTAGGGCTTTATAGGTCAAAACCAGCACTTTGAATTGTGCACGGAAGCTAACGGACAGGTAGACTGGGCCGGAGTCGTTTAGGGCTTTATAGGTCAAAACCAGCACTTTGAATTGTGCCCGGATGCTAATCGGCAGCCAGTGGAGCTGGCGTAACAGAGGAGTCATATGATCTCTGTACCCAGCTCCTGTTAGCAGTCTGGCTGCCGCTCGTTGGACTAGTTGAAGCTTCCGAACAGTCTTCAGAGGCAACCCCACGTAGAGAGCGTTGCAGTAGTCTAGACGGGATGTAACCAGAGCGTGGACCACCGTGGCCAAGTCAGACTTCCCAAGGTACGGGCGCAGCTGGCGCACAAGCTTTAATTGTGCAAAAGCTCCCCTGACCACCGCCGAGACCTGGGCTTCCAGGCTCAGCGATGAGTCCAGGATCACTCCCAAGCTGCAAACCTGCGCCTTCAAGGGGAGTGTAACCCCGTCCAGCACAGGCTGTAACCCTATGCCCTGTTCGGCCTTTCGACTGACCAGGAGTGCCTCTGTCTTGTCTGGATTTAGTTTCAATCTGTTGTCCCTCATCCAGTCCGTCACAGCGGCCAAGCACCAGTTCAGGACCTGAACAGCCTCCTTAGTAGCAGGTGGAAAGGAGTGACAGAGTTCGACATCATCTGCGTACAGATGACACCACACCCCAAAACTTCGGATGATCTCTCCCAACGGCTTCATGTATATGTTGAACAACATAGTACTGAGCCCTGCGGGACCCCACAGAACAAAGGCTGTGGAGTTGAGCAGGTGTCCCCTGGCAACACCTTCTGGGAGCGCCCCTCGAGGAAGGACCGGAGCCACTGCAGAGCAGTACCCCCAAGGCCCATCCCCACGAGACGTCCCAGAAGGATACCGTGGTCGACGGTATCGAAGGCCAAAGAGAGGTCCAGCAGAACCAAATATACGTTACAGTCTCAGTTAGTCCTGGCTCCAAGGAGTTTGAAGCTGAGAAGCCTTTCCAAGTTTCCTCTTTCCTCAGTGGCTGTGAATGCCGGAGCAAACCACAACCCCAGTTCAAATGGCCAGTTAGAAGACTCAGGATCTTCCTCTGGTGCCAAAAGAACCGGTTTGAAGGCGCTTGAGACTTCCAACGTCGTTCAGGTTGGTCTAAACATGAAGCATAAGTCTCAAGGGTAAGAAACCTCAGAATTGGTGCTGAGAGGTAATTTAATCAGGGCCTTTTAGAGTCAAGTCTCTTACTCACGTCCATCCGATAGAAACTCTGATGGCAGAATGAAAAAGGGAAGCACTTCCCCTCCTCCAGGAAGAGGTGGAGCCAAAGAATTGAGCTGAGAAAGCAATTCAACTGGTGCAAACAACATTGGTTGACAGCTATAAATAACCAATCAATCCAACTATAC